AAGTCAAGGAAAAGATAAACAGCTGGCATTACATCAAACTGAAAAGCTTCTGCACAGCAGAAGAGACATTAACCAAAACAGAGAGACACCCCACTGATTGGGAAAAAATTTTTGCACTCCAGTCATCTGATAAGGGACCCATCACAAAGATATACAAAGACCTCACAGGACTCAACAAAAACAAAATAAACAATCCAGTCAAGAAATGGGCAGAAGAACATAAAAGACATTTCTCCAGAGAGGAAATGCAAATGGCCAACAGGCATGTGAAAAAATGTTCAACAGCCCTAATAATCAGGGAAATGCAAATTAAAACCACATTGAGATACCACCTTACACCAGTAAGAAAGGCACATATCAAAAAAACAAGCAATGACAAATGTTGGCAAGGATGTGGTGAAAAAGGAACTCTTCTACATTGCTGGTGGGAGTACAAACTTGTCCAACCACTATGGAAAGCTCTCTGGAGGTTCCTCAGTCTACTAAAAATGGAGCTACCACATGACCCAGCAATTTCCCTACTAGGGATCTACCCAAAGGACACAAAAACTTTGATTCAAAAGACCTCCTGTACCCCTATCTTTATTGTAGCACTATTTACAATAGGTAAAACCTGGAAACACACCAAATGCCCCAAAATAGATGACTGGATCAAGAAGATGTAGCATACATACACAATGGAATATTATTCAGCAATCCAAAAGATAAACTCATGCTATTCGCAGCAACATGGATGGAACTAGAAGGAATTATGCTCATGAAATAAGCTAGAAGGAAAAAGAAAAATATCGCATGGTTTCACTTATAGCAGGAATATAGGGAAACCCAGTAAGACATCAGTGTAAAAAAATAATAACAGTACGAAACACAACAAAGCAAAGACAGACAATTATAAATCAGAGACATACTGCAGGGGAGGAGGAGGGAGAGGGAGCAGAGGGAGGGAGGGAGGAGCACGGGAGACTATGGTGATGGTGCATGGGTAGATTGGTGAAGGAAATTATGGGGACTACACCTGAGGGGGTGGGAGAAAGAAAATATTGTTTAAAAATGAACAATGATGTAAAAAGTTTTAAATATTAATAAAAAAATAAAAAATGGAGAGATAACAAAAAACAAACAAAAATACTTCAAGTATTTGAGAATTTCCTACTTCCTCCTACCACTGCCAGTTGTTTGTTGTTTGTTCTTCAGAAATTACTAACATCTCATTGATTACTCTAGTTCAAAATATAAATGTGCATATTTGAAACTAACTCAATATCCACATATACTAAAATTATAATTGGTAAAGTAAACTATCAAAGCAACTAGCTGAAGCTTTGAATATGTCTTTATCAGTAGAGGAGAGCAAGGACAGGAGGAAAGATAAAAAAGGCTAACAGAAAATGTTCTATTTTTTTATTAAAGATAACATTCAAAATAAATCCATGCAAAAAAAATTGATGTTCTGTTTTTGCCATAGAACCAGTGAAAAGCAATCTTTGCACTTAAAAATGTAATATACAACTCTAAGTCATTTATATAATTCTTTATAATGTACGCTATCTCTCACCCCCTAAAATGCAAATCAAGTCTGCATCAAACACAAATTCCTAGTGTGGGCACATTTTAAAAAATTAATTATGGGCCCTCCCCGGTGGCGCAACGGTTGAGCGCTGGGTTGCGAAGTTGCCCGCGGCCTCTGCGGCGCCGGTTCGATCCCCGGCTGCTCCCGGGCCACCGGAGGAGGGTCCCACATGGCGCGCAGACCTCTCCTGCCGCCCGCTGCTCCCCTCAGCAGTGTGCTTCGTCCTTCTGCCTGCTCTGCTCCCTGCTCTGGCTCTGGTGAATTCTCTCACCCTCCTGCGCTTCTGACTGTACCCAGTGCATGTATAAACAAAACAAACAAACAAACAAACAAATAAATAAAACATGCCTCTATGAAATAAATAAATAAAAATTAATTATGAATCAAGGAATAATCACCATCTGCAAGATTTGATCCTGCCTCATAGAGAATAGGAATAGTGGATAAGAGACAGGAAGTAACCCATCTAACCCTCAGAATCCAACCAGGTCCAAGACCTGGATGAGATAAGCAATCACCCTCATCCCTCACCCCCCTCCAGGAAGACTGGAGACAACACTGTTCTCCTCCACTGAGCCTACTGTAACTGACTCTCATATGATAGACACTGTAGAGAGCATCTGGGTTGCATGGATTTGGAAGTGAAAGAAACATCAAGGAAAACCTCCTAAGACTGTATCCTTAATAACCACATCTGGTCAAGAGCTTTGAGCCTTGACTGTTCACCTGTGTATGGTGAAGCTGACCCTTACCTATCTGTGAGGAATGGGGATGAAGAGTTGGCTACTTCTATAGGAGCTGCTGAGTTCATGTAAGAACAAAGATGGCACAATTGTTCATTCAGACAGTCTTGGTCAGGTTTCTTCGTTGTTCTAACCCTGGTTTATTGGTTTATTTGTAGTAGCTGACTTTAAGTCAGTCTATTTGCTTTTAACCAGCAACCTCACTCTGTATTCCAGGCCATGACAGAGAATGTGACTCCATATATTTTATTGCCTCCAACTCTTGTCAGAATTAAAGGTACAAAAAGTAACTTTCCTAAAGAATAACCTAAAAAATATGTAGTTTATTCATTTTGGTAATTTAGCTAGGTTTTAACCGGAACCAAACCTAAACATCATTCATTAAGCTGGAAAAAAATTTGGACAGTTTGTTTCTTGTTTTGCTTTTTTGAGGTAGGGGGACAAGTCCCTCTTGTCCTATAAAATTGCTGTTACTAAATTGAGATTTGTTGGGATGTCCTCTGCTTATTTGCTATAGATTTTATGGGTGAGATACATTGAGGACATTGCCTCTCACATCACTCGGCCAGCCCTTCATAAGCCCCATGGGAGGACATTTTCTCAGACTTTCAGTGCAAGCTAGAGCTTTATCTCTCCTAATCAAATGATGCATTCTTATTTTATAGATCACAAAATCTCACAAGTACCCTGTCCATAAATTTCCTAATATGTCCATATTCAATTGAACTTCCTAATTTTTCATTTTTACATTGACTTACAAAAAATCTCCCTGACATGAATTTAAAATAGCACTGTAGGGCCTCCCCGGTGGTGCAGCGGTTGAGCGCTGGGTTGCGAAGCTGCCCGCGGCCTCTGCGGCGCCGGTTCGATCCCCGGCTGCTCCCCGGCCACCAGAGGAGGGTCCCACATGGCGCACAGACCTCTCCTGCCACCCGCTGCTCCCCTCAGCAGTGTACTTCGCTCCTTCTGCCTGCTCTGCTCCCCACTCTGGCTCTGGTGAATTCTCTCACCCTCCCGCGCTTCTGACTGTACCCAGTGCATGTAAAAACAAAACAAACAAATAAAATAAATAATAAAATAAATAAAAAAACATGCCTAAAAAAAAATAAAAAAAAAAATAAAATAACACTGTAAAAGATCCACCCTTTCAGATAAATTAACACAACTATGGCCTCTGTGGTTTCCTGCATCTGCAAAGAATCAGGTCTCCACAATGCCCAAAAGGGACAAAGAGGAAAGCACAGAGCCATGGAGAAACAGTGTCTCCTAGTTTTAATACAATGTATTTCAGCTTTCTTCCATGAGCATAACCTTATCAGTTGGCTGCCTGTGGCCAACTTGAGTCCTTAGTCTTCCTGAGCAATGATATCTAGCCTAAAACTTTCTATCCTCACCATGTGCCTGCTCTTTGGCTTCCATTTCTGTCCTGTGTCATTTTACACCATCAATTCTGCCAGCTGCTTCTACCCTGATCAACTTGGCAAACAAGATGAAACCAGCTAAGAGGAAAGAAAGATTTACAAAAAAAAAAAAAAAACCACAAAAAAAAAACACAAATATATGAGGGAAAAAAAATCCTAAAACTCACTCTAATTATATTTTAATCTTCTAGAAAGTCAAATTGTATTGTATTTGTATTCATGTATTTAATATATAAAATATAAATGCCATTTAGAAATGTCAGATACACTGAATTCATTAGGATATATTGTTGTAGTAAATATGTTCTCCTTTTCTCTGGATATTCACCTTTAGAACAATCTACCCTCAAATAGAAAAAAGTATTTTCTTCAATAACCTGTTGTTATCAAGTTGCCCAGTACGTATGTGCACTTGCCATCAATGTGTAGTGGAAGGAAAATAATTCTAAGCTTAAGAGAGGGATTAATAAAAAATTAAATACACTTTCAAAGACATCAAAATTATTTAAGAGTGTTATTTTGGATTGTCAAAGCTTCTTCATGGAAGTGTCCATCCAAGAATTACTTCCTAACTCATTCTATCTGGCCAACATTACCCTGATTTCAATGCCAGACCAAGATCCTACAAGGCATGAAACTTATGAACACTAATATAAAAGTCTTCAACAAAATACAAGCAAGCCAAATTCAGTAACATATTTAAATAATCACACACCATGATCAAGTGGATATATTTCCTGTTTATAAGGATGACTTAACATGCAAAAATCAATGTAATCCACACATTTATAGAAGAATTATAAAATCACATTATCATCTAAACTGATGTAGAAATAGCATGTGCAAAGGTCAGCACCCTTTCATAATAAAACACTCAATGGGCCTCCCCGGTGGCTTAGTGGTTGAGTGCTGGGTTGCGAAGCTGCCCTCAGCCTCTGCGGCACCGGTTCCATCCCCGGCAGCTCCCTGGCCACCAGAGGAGGGTCCCACATGGCGCGCAGACCTCTCCTGCTGCCCGCTGCTCCCCTCAGCAGTGTACTTTTGTCCTTCTGCCTGTTCTGCTCCCCGCTCTGGCTCTGGTGAATTCTCTCACCCTCCCAGTGCTTGTACAAATAAATAAATAAAAATAAAAATAAAACACTGAAACTTGGAATAGAAAGCTACCTTAACATAATCAGAGGTTCCTGTAGTCATAAAAATATCATAATGTTTAACCCAAATCAAGGAAACTATACTCATAAAAGAAATCCCATTAGAAGCACTTACCTGCCAAAATTTTCTTGAACTGTCTAAACCATATATCACAGTAGTCTTCACTTAAGTTAATAAGATCAAGTGTAGAATCCTTTAATTTATTTTGTTCCTTTTTCAAACAAAAAAATAGAGTGATACCTAATAAAGTACCACTGCCTTCTGGTTTAGCAAAATAACGACGTTTCAGCCTGACAGAAAATATGTCCTTAAGTTCAATAAATTCTTCTTTACAGAGCAAATCAAGCTTGGAGTCACCTGAAAAGAAATTAAAACTTCAATCAAAATCATTGTATGAACTATAGCAAAAATCCAAAAAAATATCATCTGTAATTTAATTACATTCTCTTATGTCAGTACCTATATCATATGGGGCGAAAAGGGGAAATTGTGTCTATTTTCCCCAACAATGAAAAAATAGAAAAATAAAGAAGAGTCCCTGCCACACAAAATCTAGGACATTTAGAAATTTGAATCTATTTGATGCATGAAGAATTCCAAAAAAAAAAAAAAAAAAAAAAACCAGAGCAACATTTCAGTAATAATAAATTATCATGCAAAAGATTCTTTGGTACTAATAGGGCAACGTAAATGCAAAGAATAGAAGTTCATTAACAGCCGGATATAATGACAGGTTGTTGAAGACAACATGTAAAGGAAAGGATATGTGCACTGTGGTTAAATAACATGTGCAAAAATGAAAACAGAGTAAAATTACCGTGAGATGAAAATGTTACAAATTCCTACCAAACTAGAACAAAAGACATATCTCTTGTAAATTGCAAATTTAAATATACTAAACCAACAGCTAGTATTAAACTTGCTAGTTTAATTTTTCAGAAAAATTTCTGAAAACAGGGCTAGAAAATCTATTATCACTCTTACTATTTCAAATTATTCTGGACTTTCTGACCATTTACCATATGTTAGGAAAATGAAATATAAAACAACAATCATGGAAAGAGGAGAAGGGAAATTGAAATTATAACTATTTATAGATGACACCATATTTGCAAAATCCAAAAGAATAAATTAAAAATCATTAGAACTTATAGAACTTATTATAGAACTTAGAACTAGAAATACCCTAAGAAAGCTGGTTATAAATATGTTGCTATCCATAAAGAAGGCATAATGGGGACAAAGAAATCTCAGACCAATTACTGTATTAGATATAAGAATAAATTTAGCAAAATGTGGACTTACATGAGGAACAAGCCATTCAAAATATACTCAGAAGCAAAGAATTGAATGGAGACATATCAATTCCAAGATATTGTACTTTCCATGCTAGTGTTATTAATAACAACTTAAAATGCAGTCTTGACCAAAGTCTCAGTGATATTTTCTTTTATATAAGGGACAAGGAATCTGATCAAATGATTTGCAAATTTTCTTGAAATGAATATATCAACAATATATTTTAAAATTACATTAGTAATGGGAAGTACATGCTCAAACATTTTTTAAACTATAATAAAACAGTCACTTATTAGGGGCCTCCCTAGTGGCACAAGGGGTTCAGACACAACCTATGAAGCTATCCACAGCCTCTGCAGCATGGGTTTGATCCCCAGTCAAGGAGCTACCCACATGGCACAGCAGACCTCTCCTGCCTTGCCTGCTGCTACCCTCAGCAGTGTTTTTCAGTCAATCTGTCTGTTCCATTCCCCACTCCGGTCTCTGGTGAATCCTCTCATTCCCCCACACCTCTGGCCTGTACCCCAGTTCTTGTATGTATAACTAAATCTTTAAAAAAAAAACACATCTTGGATTAGATAAATGAATAGTCTGAGAAGTGCTTATATATATTTAAAAAAATCACTAATGAAATGTAGCATCTAAGCTAAATGGGAAATATTCTGTGAAATGTGATTTAGAATTCTTTTTAAGAGAGAACACTAGTGACCTATCTCATAACATGAACAACAATATTTCTAAATTAGAAAAAAATTTAAACAACCATAAATTAGAATAGCCATAAGCATGATAGTAAAAGCTGACATACAGAAAAAACAAATATTTAATATGGAAATTACTTAATGCCTGAAAAATCTTAAAGACTAACTGGACAAAAATATTTGCAACATATCCAGTTAATTAAACTATTTAATCAAATAAAGAAACACTTTGGTGGAAAAGTACATAAAAGATCCAAGCAGGCATTTCACAAAAGAAGAAATGCAAATTGACCAATGAACATATGAAAAAAGTTCAACCTAATTAGTAATCAAAGAAATGCAAATTAAAACAACAAGATACCATTTTTTGCCTTTTAGATTGGCACAAGATCAAAACTAATGCTCAATGACAGTTTTGAGTACAGGGAACCAGTCCCAGTTGCTAGTGGGAATGCAAAAATGGTAACTGCTGGGGAACAAATTGGGACTATGTATCAAAGATTTCAAAATGTTAATTGCAGCAGTATTTATAAAAGCAAGAGTATTTATAAAAGCAATATTCATGTTCAATAGGAGTATGGTTCAATCACAGTCATCTGTGGCTCATAAATGAACAAGTAAGGTGACTGTTCTCACCTAGAAAGATATTCATAGCAGTTAAAAATAAGTGAAATAAAAGCAAGTTCCAAAGAAATTGATCTCACTTACACAAAAAGGAGAAAAAAAGAAAACCCAATTAGAAAATAAACAAATTTAACATTGGTTACTTCTTAGAAATAGGAGGTAGAATATATGAGACAATTTTTCCTTATAAACCTTCATAATTTCCCCTTTCTGTGATTAGGATTTTGTAATTTTTTAAAAGTGCAGAAAAGGCAAAATGCTTTAAAACACATACATTTCCCACCTAGCAATTTACTTCCAGAAATATACCCTAAAGGAATAAATAATATGCACAATTTAGCTAAAGAATGCTTACCCAAGCATTAATTGCATTAAACTTAGAAACAACCTATATGTGCAATGGAGTACTGGTTCTGTAGAATAATGCATATTTTAACCATTACAATATAGAAATCTGAATGGAATGGTGTCAGATATATAGCATAGTTCATTTCTGTTACTGTTTTGTGTTTATTGAATATATAATGCATGTGTAATATATTTTCATATGCACATATGAATATGCCTGTGAAAACTTGGAAGGTAAGACTGTAGTTTAGTTTGCTTACATGAATTTCTAATTTTTCCATAACGAAAATATTTTTGTAATTGAAAAAGTGTTCCCTTTGTCACCCTAAAACTGTTCCTGATCATATTCCTTGCTTTAATTTTTAAAATGACATTCTCTAACAGGTTAGCCTATATTTAATGAGCATCTGCTTATTATCCTAAGCACTTTACAAGTATTATCTCATTTAATCCTCACACCAGCCACCAAACCTATGAAGCAGATGCTAAAAGAGAAGAAACTCAGGACAGAGAGGTTGAGTAACTTTCCCAAGGTCAGAGATGGCAAGATTTAAATACAAGGACTCTGGCTGACCTTTGTCACAATTTCTTAACCACATTGGAAGGACGCAAGGACTTTGACCCTTCGAAAAACCAGTCAAACTTAAACCTTTAGGCAAATCATTGTTCTGTCTTCAAACTAGTCCTTAGGAAAACAGCCAGACAACAAATGGGCTAGTTAACTGAGGAGCATTTTATCAGAAAATGCTGCAGCTTTTGAGAGGCTCTGAGGTTAGTAGCAACCAGGAATTCAGGGAACTGAAAATTCTGAATATCCCTACATTTATCTTTCCCTGCACAGACTTCCAATCTCTGTGTTTACCCACAGATTCAAATTTGGAGTTTTCATTTAGAATAGTCTCTGTGCCAATAAGATGAGACTAAGAAGAACTATTACAGGTTTCAGAAGAAACATTGCATCTTGTATTTGAAAGGAAAATATAATTGATCTGTGAATAAAATACTTCTGAAATTTCTAACAGTTGGCAAATGTTCTCCAGCACTCTTTCTTTCTCAGCAACTGTACAACTCTGTCAGGCGCCAATTTCCTACATAGAAACTCTGATTTATTACTCATGCAATGCTGATCATTTATATTATGTGACTATCTGCTCAGTTCTCACATCACAGGACTCATTTTATTTTGAATATAAGTATTTCATAACAAATGTAAAAATGTGTATATTTTTCATTTTATAGAAAATTGTTTTCTCATTTTAAATACAGTCAAGAATAAAAGTTACAATTCTGTGCACTTGAATTTACATTTTTATTTAAAACTTAGAACTATGTATTAATCAGTTCTCAGATTAGGCTCTGCTTTTCTATCTTGTTTTTAAAATTCTTAAGATATGAGTAGTGGATTGGTTGGCTCTATGGGGCAACGGGGCATTGGTTTTCTAGTCTTGAAAGAGAGCTAAAGCCAAATGTTCCTCAGGTTTCTAGGTGGAAAGCCCTCAGGCTAACCCCCAGTGACCTGGAAGATTCTACAGATCTGAGAATGTAAGCTGAAAATCTAAGGTGGTCATTGTTTGTCCTCAGCCCTCACTCCAAACACTTACTCTCTGACACGCTGAGAATAAACAAATATTTCTGGGGGAAAAAAAACAAACAAAAACAATTTAAGAGGAAAATAGAGAAAACAATTGTTTGAGGTCTAAAAAAGTTAAACACTTAACTAAACCCGTGGTAGCAGTATGACTCTGAGCACTTTATTCTCCATGTGAACCAAAAAAACACAGCTTTTTATTTAAAAACAATTCTATTTATAAATGTAGATGTTATATCTTTGCTTACACTTTCATCTACAGGAGAGCTGTTCTGAGCTCCATGATACCACCTGTTTAGTGCAACCAGTTTCTGCCACAAATAATTGCAAAAGTTTTCATCTTTGTATGTAAAAGTCACATTCCCTTGTACAGCCTAACACATGCAGATAGGTAGATAGTATATTAAAAGGAAATTAAAAATTAATAAATATAGCTTGGGACGTGTATTTGAACATAAGGTAAATAAAAATGTATTTGACCTTAATATTAAAATATACTGTCAGTGAAAAATATGAAATACTGTTCATAGGTTATATTGCAATATGCATATTTGCTAACAGTAAATCAAAATATAAAAATCATCTACATATACTTTTCTGAAGGTTATGAGAAGTAAAACCTCACAGATAACATGTAATTTTGCTTTGTGGCAGGTCTTTTATTATTTGAAATCTATTGGTTCTTTAGTATCATATTGGTTATAGCTGGTTGTTTCAGAACATTAACTGTCCTCTCACATTACTTACAGAGATACTGGGGACCATCTGTTCTTGGAAGGGATTTAAGTATACGTCTA